CGAGCTCACACTCGTCTACTCACATGCACCGAGGCTCAGGAAACCTGAGAGGCGCAGAAGAGCGGAGCTGCCAGTTTGACCATCACAATGACCATCACACTGACCAACAGACTGACCAACAGACTGACCAACAGACTGACCCCTGAGTTTGGTCAACACGACGTGGACAGTGGTCAGTAGAAAGGGGATGACTGGGAACACTGATCCAACTACTAGCAGGACTGTGGTAGACATCCAGTCCCCTGGAATAATGATAATAATAATAGATAGCATTGAAGAGCACAGGGGAAAAACGACGGAAGTAACAAACTGAAAATTGTGAGGGCACCAATAAGCTTTTGGACTCTTAACTTCTTACTTGTTTGACAATGAGAAAAACCCAAACCCAACAAACACAAACAATGAGAAAAAACAACAAAAAAAACAAAAACAGCAACAAAAAAAACCCCGAACCCCATCCACCCCCCTTCAACAAAAAAACACCCAAAAAGCAAAAAATCAAACAAAAACGTCAACATACAAAAATAACACACCAAAAAACAAAAAACAAAACAACAACAACAAATAAACCCCACAAAAAACACCCTCTACCTGTATTTAATGCTTGAGGACCTGCTTAACTGGGGGACATTTGTTGGGTTTTTTCTCGTGAGACAACTCATGACGTCATTCAAAGACAACTGTACGGACATTTGCGCGGGGTTTTATAAGGTCCTAGTGGTATCGATGACGACAGTAACCAGTATAACGCTAGTGACGTCATGAAACACGTTACTGGCCGTGCACACGCTCATGTGTATGTGAAACGTGAGGCGAAAACACCACCTGGACAAGGATGGCTGGTGTCTCTAGAAAGAAATTATTGATGGTCATGTGAAACGAGAACTATCGTCGCTCGCAGAGACATTCGAACCACAGTACTCTGAGGTACCGAATAAGCGTCCCCCCCGTTTTATTCCGACTCCCCGATTGATTAATTTTGAACCACTTGTCCACCACTCCCTTTTATTCCTACCGCCTTCCCTTTTTTTCCAATTCCCCCCCCCCCCCCTCCCTGTTTATTAACTTTCGACCCCTTGTCCCCCCCGCCCTTTTTATTCCTACCCCAGCCCCTTCCTTCTTTATTCGATACCTTAGAGTAGTGGTAGGCCTATCGATGACGACAGTGACCAGTAAGGCCAATGCTAGTGACGTCATGAAACACGTGACTGGCCGTGCACACGCTCATGTGTATGTGACACGTGAGGCGAAAACAGCACCTGGACAAGGATGGCTGGTGCATCTAGAAAGAAAGTATTGATTGTCATGTGAAACGTGGGCTAGCGTCGCTCGCACAGACATTCGGACCAGAGGCGAAGCGTCTATATAATCAAATAATCACTGCTTCCCTTCCTAATTTTGAAACATTGTCGCAGTCAAATTCACCCATAGACCTCATAAATTATATGTAAAAAGACGTTCATAATCACAAATGAACTATAGACTATGCCTAACCTTCAAAACCGTTTCATTGCCACAGAGATAGCCTGTTTGCCCCTATCGGGCCACTCCATAAGCAGTCACAAGCTTCGATTAAGTAAGCTTAAAGTGAGGCTGGATGAATGTACCAATAGAGTTGAAGGGAACATGACATCGTGCATAGCAGTCAAAACTGTTTCATTGCCGTATATACCCTGTTCACCCCTTTCGAGCCACAGTTATAAGCATCCACACTCGCTGATTATGTAAGCTAACTATTACACTGGTCGAGTCTACCTGACAGATGTGAGGGGAACTAACTCCTAATAATCTCTTGACTGCTGCCAGTGCTTGTTTTTTTTCCTCGACTTTTTAACGTCCTATAATCAGATCGTGACCTCGATTATGACACCGGCTCCTGGCCGCGAAAAGCTAGACAAAAAAACAGCCAAATGTGAAATAAAAAATTAATAATTGGCATGCTCTACCAAAGTGTTTCGGCTGTCTGGTATAACATGCCATTGTAGTACTGACATCTCTGCTTTTTTCCTTCGTGTTCGTGTGTTCAAATATTAAGTTAAATTTAAGGTTAGTTAGAATAAATGTTTAATGAATTACTTTCCCGATTATTTTAGCGGTTGAATATGCATACAACATGAATTCAGGATTTGTTTTCATTCACAACTCAGAGTTGCCGCCTCCAGTGCCAGTAAGATTCTTGTGACTTGTGTGAGTGTGATATCTCCAGGCCCATCTGGTCCCATCTCACTTTGATTACCCTGTCAAACAAGTCAGCCTTCGCCCCTGATTCGGACTACAGTACTCTGAGGCATCGAAAAAGCGCCCCCCTTCCCCCGCGCTTATTAATTTTCAGTTTTTTTGCGCACCCCCCCTCCCCCCCCCCCCCCCCCCTTCTTATTCCATACACCCCGTTTATTATTTTCCAGCTTGCCACGACCGACGATCATGTCAAACATTAGAAAATCTAGAATCTAGGTATCTGAATGACATTTCATCTTTGTTGTTGTAAATGGCAAATTACCCCCAGTGTTAGTACTGGTACCAGGTTGGCTACCCTTAATTTTCTGTACATAT